CTCTCTCATCACTGATGTTTCTATCTCTCTCTCCCTCTCCCTTCCTCTCTGAAATCAATAAAAATATATTATATTTTTAATACCACACTGTAGCAGCCCAGGCAGTTCACACTCCAAATGCCTCCATCCCAGGCCCTGAGCTCAAGGACTCACAAACTTTCCAGGTTCCAGCGGCTCAGGGTGCGGGGTCACCCAGCACATTCCCCGGGGCATGGGTGCTGTGGCTCAGAGGGGTGGTGAGCAGCCAGGCTAGGATGAGAACCAAGTGTCCTGAGCCCTCGTCAGACGCTTCCCCCATCCCAGTTCTCAGTGACTCGGTTGTCTTGGTTGCTCCCTACGGACCTGGTCCCTGAGTGCAAAAGAAGGAGCAAGAGAAGGCACCCCTCCCCCAGAGGAAGAGCCTCCACCCCAGCCCTTCAGGGGCCCCTCCATTCTCCCATCACGTGTTCCTTCCCTGGGCCCTCGGCCCCTCGGTGGGCTTTCCTGATGCATCTGTCAGCACCTCGAGAAACCCGACCAGGCAGCCTCTGCAGCTCCAAGCCGGGCTGAGACCGTCCCTTTCCCAAGCTTTTATTCCTCCAAAGGTGACTCGGTGACACTGTTCAGTGAGAACCCACCTCAAGCTTCAGTTATTTGTGATTTAATGAGGAGCCTTTTAATTATAACATCTGTTGTTTTAATTACCAGAGGAATTATAATGAGGCTCCCGGAGGAAGCTGCTGCCAGAGCTGAAGCTGGAGAGGAATTCGCAACATCAGAGGCCCCGTCGGGGTCCTTGGCACAGTGACTGCCACGGAGCATGACCCGTCGTGAAGAGCACTTCATCTTCATTTTAATTAAGCTCTGGGGTGAGGCAGCCGGTGCTGGAAGAGGCTCTGCGTTAGGAAGCCTCAGTTCTGAGGATGGAGAGAAGGCCGGGCATAAGCCAGCCTTTGGCTGCTGCTGGTGGAGGCGCACATCTGTTTGCCAACAGTGTGGTGGGCACAGGGGCTGGTCTTCCTACAGCCCAGCTGTGTGCCCTTGGCCAGATGAGCTGGCCTCTGGGATTCCAGCCTCCTCCTGTGCAAAATGAAAGTGACGCCTTTCCTGCCTCTCTCAAGGACATGCTTCCTCCCTGACGTTGTCTTCTGGGTTTAGAGTTGGTGAGACGTGTCCACATCCACCGTGAGAACTAGGCACCGTGTGAGATGGACATGACATGGACATGTAATCTGACAAACAATGGATCCAGGCTGCCTGTCACCACTTGAGCCAATTCAGCAGAGACAGGGTTGAATCATATGTGAGCGTTTATTCCAATCCTGCCCGCAGCATGGGAGAGCAGCAGGTCACCCACAAAAATCTGCTCTGCACCCCACCATAAGCCGGCTGCTTATATTGGGTAGAAGGACCAAGATTACATGGGGAAATAGCCAAAGGGTATGCCAAGTGGGTAGTTAACAGGTAAGCAGGTTGGAGATTTGCAAAGGCCTGCAGGTATGCAAAAGGGCTGGGGCCTTCAAAGGGCTGGCGGCTCTGGTTTCTGCAGCAAAGTTGTGATCTTTCCATGATAATCGGCAGCAGCTCCCAATGGGGAGGACGGGCTGCACTTCCAGGTGAGCTCCCAGGTCCTGAGTGCAGCTGCCAGCCAGGTTAGAATGTGCCTTCTTTAATCAGAATAAAACAATCATGGTTAACAGGGCATGATTAATATTTCTTACAATACTAGCTGGTTCCCCACCATTCTATTTCTGCCCCTATCAGACAGAGGGTGTGAGATGGAGGAGAGAGTGTGGGAGACACCACAAGGACAGAGGGTCTGAGATGGAGGAGAGTGTGGAAGGCGGTGACAATGATGCCGGAGTTCATGAGGGTAGCAACAGTGACACCAATCATGCCCATTCTCCCAATTTCTCACCCTTCCCGTATTCATGCCCATTGCACTTCCTCTCCATAAAGAAGTGGGTCTTTTCTGACACACTGAGTCTGGATCGGCCATGGGCTGTGTTCAACCGAATGCAATCCTTCCCGTATTCATGCCCATTTCACTTCCTCCATAAAGAGGTGGGTCTTTTCTGACACACTGAGTCTGGATCGGCCATGTGCTGTGTTCAACTGAATGCAGCACAAATGATGTGCCTGTTCCACGCCCAGGTCTCTGCAGACCTGCACGCTACTGCCTTCTCTTGTGCTCCTCTGCCGTGACTGCGAGGACATGCCTGGGCCCACAGAGGACACGGGAAGGAAAGCCAAGGCCAGTCTAGACTGGCCAAGAGCCCACCTGCCGCCAGACATGTGTGTGAGCCCCGCCAAGATCAGCAGAGCCACCTTGCCTGCTGCCACTGACCCTAGACACAGGAGTGATACAGGCGATGGTCATAGACCCCCAAGTATTTGTAGTCACTTCGTGAAGCCACTGAAAACTATATTGAGGAAACAGGTAACAAAAAGTCCTTTCTTTTGACCTGGTGAGACTTGGTTGGAGAATAATACTTGAAAATTGCAAACAAAACTGGGCTTCCTACCTAAGTTAAATGTATCCACCCATGGCTTCCTGGGTGAGCTTGTCACATTAGAGGAGAGGAAGAGAGACTGCAACTGTGGTCAGGCTCAACAGGGAGGAGAGCGCAGGGTGGTCCAGCTTCCTAGCTCTGCGCTAACCTCACAGCCAGATAAGACGCTGCATCTCCCTGGGGAGGAGGCGAGGGCAGAAACCACACGCCCACACTTCCAGGAGGCCTGAAGCAATGTGGGGAAAGGAGAAAGCGGCGCCTCCTAGAGTGCTAATGACAATATGGTGGTGATGATGGTGACGACGGTGGGGACAAGGATGCCGGTGGCCACGACAGTGATGCTGTCCATCAGCAGGGCCCACCATCGGAGCCCCCCAGTTGGTGGTCCCAGTGCCTTTTCGGGCTGCAGGTCCAAACCATGAGCAGGCTTCCTGAGCAGACTCGCTGAAGAGCAAGGGGACTTTCCCGTCCCAGCCCCGTGGGCCTCCCCGAAGTTTCCCAGTCACACGAGTGTCCCTCGAACCTCAGCCTCAGGTGATGCTGCCCCTTCTGCCTGTGGTAGTCTCCTGCACCCACCCACCTGGAGAGCTGGGCTCATCCTTCCAGACTGTTCACATGCTGCCTTTCAGCAGCTTCGCTGCTCCTCCTCGGCAGAGGCGGTTCTTCATCTCCAGTCCCCCCTGCCCTTGGCGATCCCCCAATCAGAACTCATCGCACTCTCCCAGCATCTGGTCTCCCCACCGTCTCCCTCCCCCCGCCCCCAGACCCTGGCAGGCTAAGATTCCATCTTACACATCAATGGATTACTCATGCCCCGCCTGGGACCTGAACTGTAGCAAGTACTTCATAAATGTTTGCTCAATTAGTTCAGCCCCTTTCTCACCAAGCACCGGTAGAAAAGGAAGGCCGTAAGCGCGTGGGAGAGGCTGCATGGCACCTGTGGAGGCCACATAGGCCCGAATATAAACTAAAGGTGTGGTTTAGTTGACTCAGCAGCACTGACTCATCAACCAGGCCCTCCTTTTTTCTAAGAATTAGCTTTCTGAAAAAATGCAGTTATTTTAACAGAGGAAGCAGGCGGGTCTCCCTCGACTGGATATTGACTTCCTGTAGCACATTTCATTAAGACTCATCAGGACTGGCCTTCTCTGCGTCCTCGGAGGGGCCCGACTCCTTCAGGAGGCAGAGTGACGGGGAAATTAAACGCACAGCTGCATCCTTTGACGCTTTTCTGGGCAGCAAGGCCAGCCAACCCCACAATGCGCCTGGCTGGAGAATGCCAGAGACGCTCCCTTCCCGCCTTCCATCTAAGCAGGAGTTCTTCTCCATTCAGCCGCGTCAGATACATACTCTTCCACTGTGCCCTCCTTTACACGCTACACGGATGCCCATACACATGGCCATGGAGCGAGTGTGTGAAAAGCTACTTATCTGCTATTAATGGCTTCCAGGATTTAGACACACATCCATGTACACGTGCATGCACACACACACACACAGCTCTGATGCCACACAGCAAGGAAAGTTGATTAAAATATCGAAAGGGGGGCTGCTGGCTGGGTGGCTCAGTTGGTTAGAGCATCGTCCTGTACACCAAAAAGTTTTGGATTCGATTCTCAGTCAGGGTACATACCTAGATTGTGGGTTTGATCCCCATTGGAGTACATACAGGATGCAACTGATACATGTTTCTCTCACATGTTTCTCTCTCTCTCTCTCTCTCTCTCTCTCTCTAAAATCCTGGGGTGAGGATTTAAAAAAAAAAAAGGAGAGATGGAGTTGGTGGTAAGGCCCAGACCCATGACATATTGGGCGATCAGGGCCTACAAATGTTTTCTTCCCTAGGGATCTTTCCCCCACCATGGCTGATCCTCACACACACCTCCCTTTCACTAGACTTGCCTCATTTGTTCAACAAGTCCCAACTCAAAGCCTTTGATGTCTCCTTGGCATGTCTGGAATGAAGTCCCGCCTCTGGGGTGACATTTATGACTCTTCCCAATCTGACTTCCCTTTCCTTTTTGTCTTCAGACCTTCCTGTTCCATCCCACACATCCTGTCCTGCTCTACTGCTAATACTAGTAAGTGTCATCGTCCTCACCACCCGCACGGGCGTTGATTGAGCGCTGGCTCTGCAAGGCCCTGGACCAGGAGAGCTCATCCTTCACCTTATTTCACCTCCGCAGCTCCATGAGGCAGCACTATGACTGTCCTCAGCTTGAAGACGGGGAAATGTGGGCGCAGATTGGCTAAGGGACGTGCTCTAAGTTACACAGCTCGTAAGTGACCAACAGTCCCTACACGGGCCCTTGGCCTCGGGGAATGCTGTCTCCTCATCAATGGATTCCCTCTTCTACCGTCTTCACATGACCATCTTCTGCTTCTCTCTGATTTCTGACCATTTCTTCTCCTATCAAACTCCCCTGGCTCCAAACAAATACCACTTGGTTGAATTATATTTCTCAAAATGGAGTAAAATGAGGCTTACCACCATAAAATGTTCTTCTCCAGCGTTTTATTTCCACTCTGCAAGTCAAGAAATCTCTGCTGAGATCCTGGGCTGTTGCAGGCTCTGTGCCCTGTGCTGTGGGGGTGTAAACAACTCGAAGAAGCACTCTCCAGAATTTCGCACAGATGGGGACATGGTCGTTCATGGTATTCTTCTTTGGTAAAAAAAAAAATCTCTAGTCTATTTGTGGACATTTTCTCTATTCATTCGGAATATTGTTCCTTTGTACATTCTCTCTCTTTCTGCATCCATCTTATGAGGTTTGTTAGCATGTTGTCCTTTCCAAGCAACTCATGTCGAGCTTTGTTGATGTCTTTATGTCTGAGGATGTTCTATTATTTGCTTTATTGTTTATTCAGTTTTACCGTTGCCTTTATTTTTCTTGTAGTTTCTCTTATTCTTCTCTTAGGCTCTTGAGATGATTGTTTGGGTTGTAGGTTATGTTCAGCTGTTCTGATTTCCAAATAAATGCATTCAAGACTATAAATCACCCCTGTAGGAACCAGTTAAACTACATCAGACAAGCTTGAATATGTAGCACTTTCCTTATTTTCAATTCATAATACTTGTAGCTTTCTTTTTTAACCCATGGATAATTTAGAAGTGTGCTTTTAGTTTCCAAACATATACATAAACCATCTCTTTCTTGTTGATTACTACTTTTATTGCATGCTGAAATATGCTATAAACTTGCAACAGAACCTATTGAACATAAAGATTCTTTGGAATTTATGGAGACTTCTTTTGTGGTTGAATGCATATCCCTCTTTTTCACATGTATTCTCTAGTTGTGGGGTTCAAATTTACATTTATATACAGACATGATCCTGTATTATTTTCAGTGGACCAGCTTCTGAGAAAGATGTGTTAAGTTCACCCACTATGCTTGTTGACTTTTTGGTTTTCCCCTGTAATTTGAGTTTTCACTTTAGATATTTCTCTTTTTTTAATGTTTTTATTGATTTTAGAGCGATAGGAAGAGAGAGGGAGGGAGAAAGAGAAACACTGATGTAAGAGAGAAACATCAATTGGTTGCCTCCTGTACACATCCCATTGGAGGATCGAACCTACAACCTGGGTATGTGCCTTGACTGGGAATTGAACTGGTGATCTTTCTGTGCACAGGACGACGCCCAACCAACTGAGCCACACTGGCCAGGGCTCACTTTATGTATTTCTGGGCTAATATTGTTGGAACCATACAATGAAATGCCTGTCATGGATACTTTCAATACCTTTCACCTTGAGTTCAATTTTTAGCGATAGTAATTTCTTTTGCAGACCTATTCTTGTTTTATCTCTTCATTTGTAATAATTTGGTATAATTTAGTTTTCCCTGTTTTGCTCTTTAATAGCATGCAGCTGGCATTTTTAAAACTAGATTTAAGGAACTCTTTTATTGGTAAATCTAATATGTTTGCATTTATTGTAATTGATGATGTATTTACACCTATTTCTGCTGTCTTATTTTGTTTTCTACTTCCCAGGCATTTTTGTTTGTATGTTTTTATATTTTTCTTTCCTAGTTTTCTATTGGCTTAGCCAAGTTTTTTGTTGTTATTGCAGATATTTCTCCTCTATTGGATCAGAGGTTATATATTCTATTTTTAGCTTCTATAGCTTTAGATTATTAGCAAACACGCTTAAGGTTTTTTGTTTTGTTTTGACAACTCCTAGCATTAATCTATAAATACATCCCTTTTCCTCCACTGAGACGAGAATCTGACCGAACCTTTACTCTAGCTGTCCACCCTCTCTCTCTCTCTCACACCCCTGCCAATGATGTTACCTAAAATTTTCATTTCAACTTGTCAGCCCCGCCCACCTCTGCAGCAGCCCTCCTGAACTGACATGTCACCATGGAGAAAGCCTGGAAGAAACGGACTGAGAAGTTCCCACCACCCAGCTGAGTGGAAGGCTGGAGAGAGAAATTGGGTTCAATTACAGGAAAATTCCATTTCTTTTGTTTGCACAGCCGAGTTTGTGAGCTGAGGATATTGCCGCCATCAGTCAGTCCCCATTCCAAGATTGGGGGTCCAGAGATGAAACTGCCGCCACCCTAAGGATGCTGTCAGCCTTGGTGCTCTCCTGTGGCACAGAAATGAATCCACAGGATGGACAACCGTGATATCCAAACAGAAACGAAACTCCTCATAAGCACGTTTGAACACAGACTAAACATGAACATTCTCCAAACCACAAAAAGCCCCCGATCCTGGCACCTGTGAGCGACTGTTCCTTCTGTATCAACCTGCCTTAGCCTCTCTCTGTTCCTCTCACCTTCGAAAGGAATTAAGATGCCACATCATAGAATTACCTTTGCTTCCTGACAGCGTCCAGCCCAGAGCCAAGCTCCCCTTGCTTGACCCTGACCCAGATCTCCTAACACCCTCTCAGTCCAAATCCTCCAAGTCCTTTCTGATACCTCTACCCGATGCCTCCGGGTTCCCTGTGGCGGGTATTCTCCCGTTGCAACAAGTCACTAACCCAGCTTGGTTGAGTTCCATGTGTGTCTGGTGGTCTCTGGGGAGGTGTGGGGATGGGGGACGTGACCCTGGCCTGACTATAGTCCAAGACACAAAATCATCTCATGTTGGTTGAATTAGGTTGAATTCACAAAATGGGTCCTTGGGGTGCCTGGGGAGGGAGAAAGATGACGTGGGCTCTGTTCCTGACTGCCTCCTCTCCTGGAGCCCACCCCCTGCCGGGCCTGCTGTCAGAGTCTCCATGCAGCTACCTGCGGGGCTCTTCTTATAGCAGGAACCTTCTGTCCCTCCCTCTCTCCACCGAATGGAAGGAGGCCTCCCCCAGGCAGAGCTATTCTCAGCCATTCCCTTCATCCAAGGAGAAGCCAGGATGGACTCAGAGCTCCATATCTGTTTGTGGGAATCTGCTAGTGGCCTGGCCTCCATGCTCAGGGGAAGGTTCTCAGACTAGGCCCTGCCTCTTCCAGCCCTGGAGGAGGCTGCTGGGGACCCGGGCAGGGTCAAGCACAGAGCTGATGCTCCGAGCCCACTGCTTCACCCAGCTTCTTCTCGCTGGCTATGGCCCCTGATGAGCAGCTGGGTGGGTCCTGAGGCTGTGGGAACTAAGCTGCTAGCCAATGGGATGAGCCCTAATCAGCCCCCTGTCAGAAACTGCCAAAGAGGGACTGAATAGAGTGTCTCCTCCTCACTGAAAAGAAATTGAACCAACCTACAGCAAAAATATCAATCTGATTTTTGGCCAAAAAAGGTGAGCCTGAAGATACACATCTAGAATGTCATACACACACACACACACACACACACACACACACACGCAAACACACTCTTGGGAATGCATCTATAAACACATGCATGTGCACGGTGCCATGGGAACACCTCTTGTTCTCTCAGACTTGTGAGAGTGCCATCAGAAGTTGGCTTCTTCCCAGAGCTGAGATACATCACAGAGACACAACAACCGCCCTCCATTTTCAGTAAAGTTCCTCATTTCTCCAGATGCCGAGTGTGGTAGTCAATCGTGGAAACTATGAGGGCACATCACCGAGATGGGAGTCAAAATCGCTCAGGCAGGGCTCAGGGAGGGAGGGAAGAGCCCATCCTGTCCTCTCACCTGAAGTGTCCACCTCCTTATAACACCTGGCTCAGATGTCACCTGCTCTGTCAAGCCTTCCCTGACTTTCCCGGGTAGATTTTGTCACATCCTTCTCTGTGATCCCCCCCGGCAAATCGCAATGACCTCTTGTTGTAGGTACCTGTTGTTTTTGCCAGTTGTATCACTTACAATTTCGTTCGGCTGCAAGTGACAGAGTCCCCAAGAAACCAGGGCTTTCACCAGGCTTAAACAGAATAGAAATGCATTTATCCCCCACACAATGTCCAGGGTTGCAAGGACAGTTCTACGATCTTCTAGAATCCCGGTTACTCCAGCTTTCCCTTCAGTTATTCCTAGGGTATGACTTTCAGGCTATTGGTACCAGATGGTGGCTGGAACTTCAACCATTAGGTCACATTCAATGCCACAGGTTGGAGTTGGCATTGTGCGGAGGAGGTGGCAAAGAATTTCTCTTTTAAGGAACATTTCTGGGAACTGCCACATGACACCTTCACTTCAGTTACATTGGCCACAATTTAGTTGCAGACTATGTCTACCTGCAAGAAATGCTGGGAAATGTAGTCTTTTTTTAGACGGCCATAGTCCAGTAAAAAAAAAATTCGACTCAGAAGGAAGAGGAGAAAATGACTACTGGGCCAGTCGTCAGTCCTGACCACTCCCACCCAGCATATCTTCCCCCTAACTCTGGTTACAGAATCTAGGCTTTGTGGAGAGCTACCCCTTTTCCGGTGGGTACAGCCTTGCTATACCATCAGCCAAGAGGCCCTGACAAAGCCCAGGAATGCCCCCATGACTCAGAGAGATTCTCTTCCAGGGCATGAGGTTGCCGCTAGGTGATCCAAGATGGAAAACGACTGGAGTGACTTTGTTCCTAATCCTAGAACCCTGAAGAAATGGTCCATTTTCTCCAGCTTGCGGGGTCCTTGGGGCTACGTGCTTGTCTGACCAGTCCAAAGTCTGGTGCTGCAGGTCATCCTTTAATTCTGTGAGTTGCCCCGTATCCTTTCAATTAATTCATTTTATTTTCTTATTTAAATTACCCAAAGTTCATTTCTATTCCTGGCAACTAGAAAACCCTGACTGATATCCCTCAGTATGTCATGTATCATATCACTCACATATCTGTGTCTTTAACCAGACAAACTCTTCAAAGTAGAGTGCATATTTGTGTCCCTGCCCTACGGATCAACACGGTCCCATTAGGAAGTCTGTAAATGTTTGTAAAATATGTGAACGAGAGATTTCAGGTGGTTCTATGGATACATATTATGACCTTGAGAAAGCCACCAACTTCCATGACTCATTATCCCCAAAGGAACTCACTCTTAGTAAGAGTTAGTGATGGCAAGGAAAACCTTCAATTCCTGACCTCCCACTTCACGCTCAGAACTACCGGAACATAGTTTCCCTGATTTTATGATTGTGGCACAAGTTTTTCTACTAACATAATATCAAATTCTTACTCTCCTGACTTCCAGTTAGTTCAGTGGTTCTCAACCTTGGCTGCACATTAGAATCACCTGGAAATCTTTTTAAAAGCCTGATTTCTGGGCCTCATCCTCCGGAAATTCTGTTTCTTTGTTACTAATGTTGTGGCCTCACCCCATAACAAAGAAACAGAATTTCCGGAGGATGAGGCCCAGAAATCAGGATTTTAAAAAGATTCCCAGGTGATTCTAATGTGCAGCCAAGGTTGAGAACCACTGAGTTAGTTACTTTATCTCCCTAACTGGACTCAGATTCATCAGATTTGTCTTAAATGATTAATTGCCAGCTGGGATTCAGGAGTCATAAGACCATTCTCTGTCCCACACCTGTACCAACTCATGGGGCAACCACGTTAATACCAGGTAGTTCTCAGCCTGCCATAGCTCAAGGGAGCAAGAGCACGGGTGGCCCGAGCACACAGTCAGATTCCATCTTCTGGGAAATGTGCATGGCAGTAGAGAGATGCTGCTGTCACGCTAGGCTGTTCCCAAGGACAGAGCACAGGTAAATAGGGAGAGACGGGCGCTTTCCTCTGGGCGGCCACTCTATAAAGACACATAGAGAGTCAATCTGGAGAGAAAGAGGACGGAAGAGGATGTGCAGGCAGAAGCAGAAAGAGCAATCCGTGGTTCCAGAGATAAAACCAGGAGAAGCGCGCTCCCTTTCCAGATGGCTTTACAGGTCCCAGTGCTGGTCTCCTGAGTGGCTCACTAGCCTTCTCTGCCCTTGAGTTAGTTCTGCAAGACACCTGCGAAGCCACGGAGCAAGTATTCCTTTATTCTCCTCAGCCGCTCTGGCACAGGTGCTTGCACCCAAAGGACCAACAGAGACACCTGCTCCAGGTCAGGTGTGATGGTCTTTCCTGATGACTCTCGCCTCAGCTCTCTCACTGCTCTCCCTGCCTCTGGTCCACCCCAACCCTACCCCCATCCGCCTTCCACCTGGGCTTCCAGGCAAACCTCGTCATGTCTGTGCCCCTGTGAGCGGAAAAGAGGCAACAGGCAGGCCCAAAACAGCTCTCCTGTGCAAGGCCCGCCTGCCAGCTGGCCCGTCCTGGTGTCGGGGAACTTCAGTATCAGGGGGGTGCTCGCCCTAACTGATTTGAGGGGGCTCACTGTGTGCCTAAACTGCTTATGCAAGCAAAGTGGCTTATGCCAGACACTTGCTTTCTGTTTTGGAGTCTGGGATTTTTGCAAGTAGTAGGCCAAGGTGTCTAAGTGCCCAGTCCCCAGTAAAACTCCTGGACACAGAGTTTATGATGAGCGTCCCTGATTGACAACATTTCACGGGTCATCACAACTGGTTGTATGTCCTGTGTGAATCCACTGGGAGAGGGCCCGTGGGAGCTGGCGCCTGGTGGTCCCCCACTTGGCCCCACGTGCCACTGCCCTCTGCTGACCTTGCCCTGTATCCTCAGGCTGTAATAAATCTTGGCCATGAGTGTCCTAACAGTTCTGCTGTGCCCATGTCCCAAAAGATGCGAGGTCCAGGAAGTCAGAAACTTGGTCCCAAGGGTTGCAGACCAGGTTGTATTTACCAGGACAGGCCATGGCACACAGTAGGTGCTCAATAAAAATTTTTGAGCTTTATTCTTCCTACACAGAAACCTCCCTCCTCTGAAAACCTGGGAAATGACACCCTGGCATCTGAGATGTGACCTTATACACTCAACATATATAGCTGAGAATCTGAAAGTGGGGGGGGGGAACAACACAGGAGGTGCCCTTATCCCCAATTTGCAAACAAGACTCTCAAGAAGTTAAGTGACCTAACCAAGGCTGCACAGCTGGCAGATGGCAGGACTCGAGGCAACCCCAGAGCAGTTAGATCCCAAAACTCTCCTGGCATCATATCTACAAACCTGGAATGGAGAGCCACCCTGGAGCTCGGGGCAGCCCTGGGTCTCTGCTCCTCTCATCTGTGACCTCCCTAAAGGCAAGGACAATGGACACTGATGCTCCTCTCACCACCCAAGCCACCAGCACAGGGCAATGCAGACAAGGCCCAGAAAGTCACTGGAGATGCCATGAGGACCCCCAGAGGCCTCCGCTAACCCCCCTCCTACAGAGCCCACTCCAGACAGATCTGAGGCGATGCTCCGACTCCCTCCCCGCACTAGAGAATCTCAGAAATCGAATCCCCTTGGAAAGGGGGCAGCTTCAGTTTCAGCTTCCCTCGCTGCGGCCCGAGAGCCAGCATCAGGGTCCTGCCGCCCCAGGAAGCTCCGGGTTTCCTTGGGCTGAATCCCTGTGACATTTTCACTGGTAAAATAAATTTGATTTGCAGAAGCCATGAAGGAGCTGGGGTGAGGTGACTTCCCAGATGCACTGCGTTATTGGATATGATAAAAGACTGAATGAGTCAGTAAACGTAGCAGTTTAGTAACTGTTAAAAA